TGTGTGTGTGTGTGTGTGTGTGTGTGTGTGTGTGTGTGTGTGTGTGTGTGTTTGCGTGAGTGCTCCTGATAAAACAAATGTTGATTTAACTAGATTCTATACCTTATTGCAAAAAAGGTACTATACCTATAGCCAACGTGTAATGAAAATTATGACAATTCCATTTATTAATTGTGGTGTTGTGAAAACATATTATCAGACACACTGTATGGTATTTCTATCAATTTCTCCAGTTCTGGTGGGGGGTTGTTTTTTTTTGGGGGGGCTATATCGATAGGCTACAATTTAAATCATTCAGATCATAGGGGGCTTTCACCATGACTGTAGGGCCAAGCTGGGCTGAAGGATATACAACAGTAGAAAGACTGAGATAATCCATTTTAAAAAAATCCCTCCTTACGAGAATTGAATTCGGGCCTCCTGCATATTTTATGACGATGAAGCGACTGACTGTAACACCACAGACGCTGGTTCAATCAATTTATGGGTCTACACCCGGAAAGTCCCGATTCGGCTCAAAATTATGGAATTTGAGATGTAAGCATTTTTATCATCTTCAGCCTCCCTTGCAACTATTTCATCGTATAAGAACCCCCTAAAGCCGGGCATGCGTGTCACCACCATTTCCTCATTAAGTTATTGTTTTATTTTTATTTATCACCCGTTTTCTCAAAAGGTGTTTTTTTTTCTAAAGATCTGCACTTTAAAAAAACAACAACTCTATATCTACCATTTCTCATTCCATTTTCCTGACATTTTTACAGAATGAAGAGAAAATATAACACAAAAAACTGATCTGTTGAATTGTTGATATATGGAATAGATTTTTGTTGGTGATGTCTGGAGTGTGAGTTTTTCTCGGATTTTTTTTTCAAACTTAAATAGAGGAGAAAAAAATTATTAAACAATATCTAATTCGTTTAGGAAAAACTCAACATACAAATTTGTAGATTTATTGTGTTGCTAACATGCAAGCAAAAAAAAAAAAAAAAAAAAAAATTCCATGAAAAAAGTACCGTATTCATTACGTAAGACATGTCAACAAATCCGATATGGCCGCCGTGTCCATTGAAACGAAACTTTTTCTTATATTATTTGACTGCGGATTTTAAAACTTCTTGTTATGCGTGTCATAACCTGTGAGAAATTTGATGAAATTTGATGAAACTTGATCCTCTAATAAGGCCTTCAGGTGCACCCCCCACCCC